CTCCTTAATCACTCGTACGCACAACTTAAGAACAAATCTGTGCGTACCAACGGTTCTTGCATGAGGCCCAATGTTTCCACCAATCAGCTAACAGCTAATAGCAGAGCAAACGTTTTGTTTAGCGGATTTGCTTTTCACTAACTTTGAAAGCCGTTAGTCCACTAACATCTAACTATCAAACTAGCCTCAACATGTTTGTGTCAGTCCTGAAGGAGACGAAGACATGACAGACTGAGGGACAGTTGTCTTAGCGGCAAGCGATTAGCTCTTAGTGTTAGCTTCCACTGATTTTCAGTTTTGCTGTAGCATTAGCTTCTACTAAATGTATTACTTGGTTAACAGTTTAGCGTTAGCTTCAGCTAATGTTTTTTTACATGTTTAGCAGTTTATCGTTAGCAAATGTGTATTTTTAGTTAAATGTTAATGAGTTAGTGAAGCTAACTTTTTAGTTAGCTCTACCCACCACTGGATGTAAATCAAAGCAGTTAAATTAAAAACTCATTAGATTCAAACAGTTTTGTTTATTGAAGTCTGTGATCGAGCTAAATATCAGCCGATACATCAATCCCTGGTTCTGTTTAATTCTGATGGTTTACTCCCTTAAAAACTTAGAAACTATAACATAGTCATGTTGGTGGGATTTATATTGAGTCTCGTAGCTCATCTCAGACATTTGTTTTGTCTGCAGGGTGATGAGAGCAGCCGAAGAAACAACTTCCAGCAACGTCTTTCCTTTTAAAGTCGTCCATTTCAGTAAAAAACACCGAACCTGGTTCTTCTCTGCAGCCAGTGAGGCAGAGCGACGGGTGAGGAAGACTCTGCAGACACCAAATATATCTGCAGTCGTGGGAAAATGTTTAAAATCGTTTGTCGTTTGGTGCTTTAGAAATGGATGAGATATCTGAGGAGGGAGATCGACCACTATAACGATCGGAAAGAGGCTCATATTTCAAGGTAAATATCAACAAAAACACTTTGTTTTCATTTAGTTCTTAAAACAAACCACAGTTGGTTAGAGTTAGGATTAGACTAACTCTAACTCTAACTCTAACTTTAACTCTAACTCTAACTCTAACTCTAACTCTAACTCTAACTCTAACTCTAACTTTAACTCTAACTCTAACTCTAACTCTAACTCTAACTCTAACTCTAACTCTAACTTTAACTCTAACTCTAAGCAGATAAACTGAACAGAAACATGTTGGTTTGTTTCACAGTGACTCAGATTCAGATGCTGACAGTTTCTATGGAACAATAGAGAGACCAATGGACCTGAAACACCCTGTAGATACTACAGATGATGGTGGGATTATAATCTGAGAGTGATCACATGAACACATGAACACATGAACACATGATCACATGAACACATGAACACATGAACACTGGAACACATGTGATCCACATGATCACATGAACACATGATCACATGAACACATGAACACTTGAACACTGGATCACATGATCACATGATCACATGAACACATGATCACATGAACACATGAACACATGAACACATGAACACATGATCACATGAACACATGATCACATGAACACATGATCACATGAACACATGAACACATGAACACATGAACACATGACCACATGA